GATCATAATGATGTTTTTTTTTTTTGGTTTCTATCTATGAAATTGTTATTATGACAAAAAGATGAAAGCTTGAACTCTTAAATATTTTTTTCCTTATAAAATTATCTTCTTTAAAATTACCTCCCTATTCTTTATTAACCACTAGGGGTGTGCATTAGTTAGTATAAACCTATGAAGCATGGACATATACGTGGATACAACATTATATAGGCACAACAAAACTACATAATTACAAAAATTATGACACAATAAGTCATGAAAATATTTTCAATTATTAATATTATTTGTATAATTTTCAACTATGCTACACTGAAGATATCACAATATAAGATAAAATATCATGAAAAATTCATTTCCGAAGATTAAAAAAATTAAACATGATTGACAATAAAAAAAGCCTTGTCAGAACAATGTTTGATAATTAATTTAAGTTGTTGTTGCATGTTCTAATACAAATATTCCTTTCAAAATATAAAAATTTCTCCCAAAAAATAAATGCCATTATCATCATTAAAATAATCAAGCAAAGCATCAATATATGAGCATCTCTTGTTTGTGGATTTTTTAAGAAATTCGAAGATTTAATTTTTATAGCTTAAATAATTTTATTATTATTCTCTATGCTTTTAAAATTTTATCATTTTTTTATATAATTTTAATTTTATTACAATTGTTAATGAATTTTCAAAGTCTTAGATAAATAATTAATTATTTAATTAAAAGGAGGGTTATTGCATTTTATGTGCATTTAAGCTCTAAACCTTATGAGAATAATTTCCAAGCTTAGAGATGAACTGAAGATTATTCTATAAAAATTTGGAAATCTCTTATTATTAGCTTGAATTTTTTTTTGAGCTGTTTGGACTAACAAGAATTCAAAATACTACAGACTTTGGAGAGATCTTATTTTTATGGTGTAAAATGTGTTTAAAATAATTTTCCTCTTTTCCTTGATTATACCTTATGAGAAGTTAGCGACCGAAACTCAAATATTAGAAAAATGATAATAAAAAAAATAATCTTATTTGGCCACAGTAGCTTATCTTTTGATACGAACGCAGCTCTGCCAAGGGAGCTTCAAAAAACCAAGATGGCTTCCGCTTTGCTCCAGTGTCATCTTCATTGCCTCGCTTTTGTGCCTTTGTTTTCTTCCTCGTTTTCCTAGCTTATGTTTAAAGCAAGTCATGCTTAGCTCAGAGCATCTTTAGCTTCCTTGTCATTTCAAATTAGTTAGGTTGTTACTTTTTTTTATTTTTAAATTTTACACTTTTTCTTGGCTTGCCGCTATCTTGCATCCCATGCTCTGCACCCCATTCCATAGTTTGTTTTGATACGATGATACTGTTGTGCTGCACCCCGTTCCATAGTTTGTTTTGATACGATGATACTGTTGTGTCAGAGCCTTATTTTATTTTTGACACCGTTTGTCATGTTTTGGTTATGTGTCAGAGCCATGTCTGTATTCATCACATCCTACACGAACATGGACACCATTTGAAAGTGTTGGTGTTTCACAGGCTTCTAAAGCACCGAAACGAACCAAGCAAATTTGCTTGATTCGATTTGGTTTATAAAAGCATAGCTCATTTTTTGTTTCAAACTATGAGTTATTTGGATTATGATTACTGGTTCAGTTCGAATAAAAATTCTCTTAAACCAAGAAATAGAATTGTAGTGCGGTTAAATCAAGTTTATGAACCAATTCATCTAAGCTGATAGAATGCACACCATTTTACTAGGATTTCAAATTTTGGTTTAACAAAAACTGAACCGAATAAATTGAGTTATATTGCTATTTGGTTTGCTTCAATTCTGCCTATTGTTTTGTTCGGTTTAAGCACTTTAATAAATCTATTAACCAATCCAACCAAAGCAACTGGATGGACGCCCCTAATAACCATTTGTTGGTGAATATTCTTTATATACATGAAGCTTGTTGGGATGGCAACTTGTTTTGCGTTAGATAAAAACAATGGTTGTGGATAAACTCGTAAAATTACTTCATCGATGTTTAATTAGTTTTCTTTGCCTTGATTTTCTTATTGCTAATTATACTATAAGCAACTATTGATTCAGTGTTTCCTTAACCTTAATGGTGTTCACTTTTGTTCAATTGCCTTCTTCTTAAACTTACCTTCTATATTGATTTTTTAGATACTAAAGCTAACACGGGAGACCAAAAAGATCCTACCATCTATATCACTATCTGTCACTGTCCCTCATACATTAACTATCCTTGATCAGGTTGGTGTTATGATATATGTTATGGAATATAGTTTATTTATTTATATGTTGAGAAGAATTTACAAAAGCATTTGCTTTATTATAGGTAATGCTAGCAGAGTTGCTGGAACAAGAAGGTGCTGACATAATTCAGACTGAAGGCGGAAAATATTCAAATCCAACAAAACCTGGAGTTATGGGTTTAATTGAGAAGGTAAGCATTACTGTCAAAATTGCTGGTTGGGGTGAAAATAAAATATTGTTTTGAGTGATATTTTTGTTTTACTCTACAGTTGTCTTTTTGTTGCAGCTCACCCTTGATTGTTGAGTCAAAGGATTTTGATTGTAAAAACTAAAGGGCCTTTAAATGGGGTGTAAATTTTTTTGTTACTTTAGCCAATTCTGGTATTTTTAGAGGGACTAAAGTGTTGCAGACTTCTTCTTTTCATTAGATGCCTGTTTCCATGATCGTTTTCTTGATTGTTTGGGGGAATCAAATATTGAGGAACACATTTAATGTTGCTGAGATTTGAACTTATGAGCTCGACAACACCCACAAGTCATGGGCTCAAATCACCTAAATGATATATGATTTCAAATCACAAAAGTAGTTCCTATCCTATAATTTGTTACAAAAATTGCATGTTAAAAATATTAGCGCAATCTATAAACTGTGCAACTAATTTGTTTGATGTTATTATTGTCAATCCTTCCGAGGTGGAAATATTTCTCTATTTATGCATCAACTGATAAAGTAAAGCTACAATTCTGGACTTCCTTTTTGATAGCTATATACTTTTCTTCCCCCTATTTCTGGAAATGCTTCACATATACAAATTGAATATCGGCCTGAAATCCAGCATAATTATATACTTCCCAAAATTGGAATGAGAAAATGTCAAAATGGTCCAGGTCCATTTAGTTTCAGAGTCCATAAACTTATAGATTTAGTCCCTTAAATCTTTTAATGGAGGCTAATATAGTCCTCCTTAGGGATTATTTCAACTCATATTAAAAGAGTCTATAAAGTAATTTGAGACTTCTATATACTCTGGGAACCAAGGGATAATTTAGACACTTCACTCTAATTGGAACATATCCTGTAATAATTGTTGACCGGGAAAGTGTTCCTCAACTGTTGCGCTTATGTTCACCATTAGCAGTTGATATTTGTCTGTAGTTTCGTATGAGCATTTCGCCATCACTCGCACCCTTTGTGCTTTACAACTAATTTGCAGATTCCTAAAACTTAATATAGCATGCGGCTATCATTTTTTTAATCAATGAGCAAAATTTTATTATGACCCTCAATGGGGCAAGCTATAGACACTCCCTTGATATGTTTGTTATAAGTTATCTTGCTATTTCCATACTCCTTTTTTGTTTAAGTTGTCTCACTTTTTATCTTCTATTGGAACAGGCAACACCAACCATAGCTGCTGCATATTCTATTGCAAGGGCTGTTAAAATTCCAGTTATGTGTTCATCTGGACTTAGTGCTGTTACAGCACCCATGGCCTTGGCTGCAGGAGCAGCTGGAGTGGTATGTATCTATCTTCTTTATTTTATATTACATATTGAATTGCATTTAGGTCCCTCCATATTCGCCATGTGGAAACAATTTTCTTATTTATAAAAAAGGGCATTTACATACATAACACGTAATTCTCATGTGTTCACATATCGCACACCTAAACTTCCATATTTACACACATATCATTAGAATCTTTAATATCACATAAAAAATAACACTATTGC